AGCCAATCCGAACCCTGTCAGCCAATCGGAATCAGCAGCAGGAGCGGGCGTGTCACTGAGTGACTTTCGGGTCAGCGGGGATTGGCCAGCGCCGGCAAGGTTCAGCCAATCAGAGGAGGCGGGAGAGCGAATGGCTACACAGAAGTCGTATGCGGCCGGGAGCGCCTGGCGCGCCTCTCTGACTGCCCGCCCCTCCCTCGGGTAAGAGGCGAAGCGTGGGAACGGGATGGGGGAGACGGAGCCAGAGGGAGCGCGGCGGCGGCTGCAACGAGCGCGTTGAGCTGGCACCAGGGAATCGCCACCCACTCGCTCATTCACACGGGCGGGAAGCGGAATTCTCCCCCATCTTTCTGTTTGGGCTGGCATCTGGAGGATCCGGCATGAAGCGGGCGCACCCGGACTACAGCTCCTCCGACAGTGAGCTGGACGAACCCATCGAAGTGGAGAAGGAGAGCGCGGACGAGAACGGGTGAGGGCGCCGGGAGATCGGGAAAAACGGGTCGCGTGCGGTAGGCAGGCAGGCAGGCAGGCAGGCAGGCTCGCTCCCCGGCCCTTCGAGCTGCGGCGGCGGCGCATTGGCTTCAGGGTTGCCTGTGGCGTGGAGGCTGCTGTGACATCTCGGCTCCGGGAAGGCGACGCCAAATACCCGCTGTAGGCATGCGGAAGACGCCTCCCCCGCTCTGATCATAAAGCGAAAGTTTCGATCTTATGCCCACTTGCCTAAATCCCGCCGAACCCAGAGAAACTTACTTACGAATAAGCCGGTTTCGAATCGGGCACCGCTACTCACTAGAAAGCTTGCACTGGATTGAGTAGGATTTATTTCTGAATGAACTTAATCTCTGAAGCGAGAAACAGGGAAGGGGCAGTCAGAGCTGCCTGTGCGCCCAGGTTCACTTGGAAGGGATGGCCGAGGAGGAGCACTCTGCACGTGCTTGAGGCAATCTCTCCCGGTCTTAACACTTTTCCAAAGACTTTGACTGCCGTCCTATACATACTTGTTGGCACAGGACTGGCTCTAGCAAATCTTGGCACCCAAAGCAGGAAGAAGTGGACGGTTTGGGTGGAAACCAAACTTGCCGCTGGTGTTTTGTTGGGCACCACAGTTACCTGGAAATAACATTAGCCTCCATTCTGCACCCAGTTGCACCCCTGCATGTGCCCCTAGTCATTCCTGGGGGTGGGAATTGTGTCCCATCAGCCCCTTTTCTGTTTTGGATCTGTACTGACTTCTTCCTTCTCTTGCTGTTTATAGAAACTTGAGCTCTGCTCCAGGTTCAATGTCTCCAAACACCACTTCCCAGATCTTGGCTAGGAAGAGACGCAGAGGCGTAAGTTCTTTCCCCCCTGAACTGCTCTGATATGTCAAAAATTACCCCCCTCCCCCCCCCCCCCCCCCCCCCCCCCC